GAGGCATCCTTACCAGATGCCCGAGCCACCTCAACTGGCTCCTCTCGACGTGGAGGAGCAGCGGCTCTACTCTGAGTCCCTCCCGGATGACCGAGCTTCCCAATGCGCAAATTAGAATTTCGAAAATAAATTTGCTCAATGGMAACACGTCAATTTAAAAAAACTTCCTTTTTTCGACAAAATGTTTCTGCGCTAATGAGGTGGTTTTTCGCCCGTATCCAAATTGGTCTGTTTCGCAAAACTGCTATGGAAACACTTTTTTCACATTACGGGAGTCACGTGATCAACAACCGACTGTTTCTACTGGCGAAAAAGATGATGATGAAGAAGATAACAGGAAGTAGAAGTAGTAGTAAAATCACCAAAGTTGTAAAAGAAAGTAGTAAACTCACTAACTACAATTTCCCCAAAAATACAGCGTACAGCCTCTCCCAAGTATAAGAGGCTCGTCACTCGAAAGCCTGAATAAGACGCCGACGTTTCCTCTGATGATCATCGCTAGTGCCATGGTAGCAATTATGTATGTGTTTACGTCTGTCGTTTGTAATGACTTATCGCGAGGACAAACGTATTCACGCGTGACTTTAATAGCATTTCTTACTTAATGGAAACACCGCAATTGTGAAACCGTGTTTTTTTTCTACATTAACAAAATATCGACAAAGTTTTTGCGCACATTTGCAATGGAAACGCAGCTACAGACATGTTTGGTATCTACAGAAACATCAGAATCTTGGCTAAAAGCTGGTAAAACCATTTCTATGGACACTAAAGACAGTTAAAACTACAAGCAGTTGAAGATAAAACTATGAAAGTGAAAATAAAATTGGTTTAAAAATTGGGCAAGTCAGAGATGTCAAAATAATATTGAGGTATGTGTTCTTTTTGTTTTTAATATTAAGATGTCACTACTTTTATAGGGTTCTGTATGTTGTATTCATGATTAAATGCAGCAAAATAAATTATTTCAAAGGTAACAGATCTTTGTAATACTTGGTTTATTTACATAATAACTTTAAATGCTGGATGTTCGGCCCCTCAGCTGTTGACCTACAGTAACTGTGRACCCCGGAGAAATTTAGTTGAATAGCCCTGGCATAGATCTTAGAAAACAGACCAGATAACAGATAATTAACGTATTTTTAGAGCATTTTTCAAATCAAATAAGAAAATAATTAAATGTCTTATTTTCCTAAATGTAAAGATTTTCACTTKGCTTTAGTTTGTTGTGTTAAAGCAGTAAATTCAGCCTGTTTTTGGTCTTATTGTTTGGAACCATTTAAAGAGCAAACGGAGCTGTTGTGATGGTAACAAAATCAGATCAATCTGACTATAAAGTTTGTCATTTTTATCCCCATGGGCAAGATACTGAATCCCACATTTCCCTGGTGTGCTCATTAGTGTTCTTTAAAGAATAAAATGTGTATTATTAACCATCCTGCTGGTTAGTYTGTGTTTTCATAACCTTGGTGAGTTTAACTCAGTGACACCATGAGTTCAGTCCTGACACACGGATCTTATTGTCCGTTTGCTGAACTGCAAGAGGAGGGAGATACATTTTAGAATAAATTACCAGTTGAGTTATTTTCTCTTTGCTAAGTCTGAGTTCAGGTGTGTGAAGAATGAGTGGTCGGGTTGAATCTAACCAGATCAGACAGTAATGCCTTGCTTCAGGAGTTGATGAGTGTGAGTTGTAAGATAYGTTCCCTTCATGAGAACGCTCCAGGTGCAGTACTACGGTCCAGTTCTGTTTTAATCCAAGCAGGTCAGAAACGTTCCTTTAAAACCTCAGGAAGTCTTATGACTTTATTATAAAATAGGAAAAATTAAAAAATAAATAAATCTGATGATGTCGATCCTGAGTTTAACTCGTATTTTCCTCTCAGAGCGTTTCCGTTTCCTGACATGTGCCCCCCGTCTCTCCTCCAGTGAGCTGTGTGGTTTGTCTGGGTTGGACTGCAGCCATCAGCGGGTCAGAACCATGAGTCTGTACGGCTCCGGTGCCAACGGGGGGGCCGCCGGTGGGACCAGAGAGCGAGGCGGAGCGGAACACTACCGGGAGCAACGGCGGCGCTCCAGCGATCGATCTCGCGAGTCCTCCCACGAGAGAGGGGAGGGCCAGCTGACCCCCTGCATCAGAAACGTCACGTCTCCCACCGGACAGCACGGTTTGTGATCGAAGACCCCTCCCCTGTAAAATCTGAGTTAAGAAGTGATTTGTTGATTCTGCGTGTCGTCCCCCCGCCTGCAGATCGAGAGCGTGGCGACGGAGGCTCGTCCTCCAGGTCCTCCAGTCCCCGCCCTCCGAGGGTCTCCCATATTTATTCCCACGTGGGAGGAGCTCTGACCGGGGCTCACATACCACGGTCCCTCGGTCCTCCCGGTAAGGACCGCCACTCGGCGGGTCAGGGGGGCTGCGATATGATCTACGTGTACGACCTGAGCAGCAAGGAGCACCGGCCCGGGTTACGACCAGGAGAGAGAGTCACGCTCATCGTGGACAACACGCGCTTCGTGGTGGATCCTGCTGTCTTCACCGCTCACCCCAACACCATGCTGGGCAGGTAAATTCACCCCAACACCATGCTGGGCAGGTAAATTCACCCCAACACCATGCTGGGCAGGTAAGCTCACCCCAATACCATGCTGGGCAGGTAAATTCACCCCAACACCATGCTGGGCAGGTAAACTCACCCCAATACCATGCTGGGCAGGTAAATTCACCCCAACACCATGCTGGGCAGGTAAACTCACCCCAACACCATGCTGGGCAGGTAAACTCACCCCAACACCAT